CCATACGGAAGCTAATTAAGCCAAACAGTTTCCTGATTCCGGTCAGGAAACTGTGGAGAATTATGGGATGCAATTGCTCTAAAGGAACAGGAGCAAATGATACGGTCGACAACAACAATGTGAAGGAGACAAGAAGCAAACGTAATAATAAAACCTCCAAGAAGAAGAAGAAAAGCTCTGCTTCATCGAGCAAAGTCAATGTAGGATCCGAGGAAAGGCCAGGCTTTGTTGATGGCAATAACAAAGAAGCCACCTTCAAGTTTTTAATACCTCTTGATGCAATGAACAATATTTCTTCAACTCCCAAATCATGTGATGAAACGGATAAGAAGGTGAATCTCGAGAGAAAATCTTCGAGATCGATTTTCCAGAGACGACCCACCAGTGAGATGACTACCTTAGGGACATTGCAACAACCTAAGATAACTAGAATAAGCAGTGTTAGTAATGGAGAAAGAGGTGCTCAGGTTATGGCTGGTTGGCCTACTTGGTTAGCTGCAGTTGCTGGAGAAGCTATCAATGGATGGATTCCACGCAAGGCAGATTCGTTCGAAAAGCTCGAAAAGGTGAGACCTTTGTTTTATCTATATGTGTGTTTAGAAATCATTCTGAGATCATTTGATTGAACATTGCTTGGTTACTGTTAGATTGGACAAGGGACGTATAGCAGTGTGTACAAAGCCCGTGACTTAGAGACGAACCAACTAGTTGCGCTGAAGAAAGTGCGGTTTGCGAATATGGATCCCGAGAGTGTTCGGTTCATGGCGAGGGAAATAATCATCCTTCGTAGGCTTGACCACCCCAATGTGATGAAGCTTGAGGGTTTGATCACTTCAAGGGTTTCAGGGAGTATGTATCTTATATTTGAATATATGGAACATGATCTTGCAGGCCTTGCTTCAACACCTGGGGTTAAGTTCTCTGAGGCACAGGTATTGTTATTGAGTTATTACTCCAGAATGTATGCAATTGGGGATACAATTATGTGGTAGACTCTCATCTAAAATATTGTTGCTTTTGCAGATTAAATGCTATATGAAACAGTTGCTACATGGTCTAGAACACTGTCATAGTAGAGGCGTGTTGCATCGTGACATCAAGGGATCTAATCTGCTTCTTGACCATAACAACAATCTCAAAATTGGAGATTTCGGTCTTGCCAATTTTTATGGGGCCCAACAGAAACAGCCTCTCACTAGCCGTGTTGTAACTTTGTGGTACCGTCCACCTGAACTCCTTCTTGGTTCTACAGACTATGAAGTAACCGTGGATCTGTGGAGCACGGGATGCATTCTAGCTGAACTCTTTAATGGGAAGCCTATCATGCCTGGAAGAACAGAGGTAGAACAGCTACACAAGATCTTCAAACTCTGTGGATCACCTTCTGAAGAGTATTGGAAAAGATCAAAATTGCCACATGCGACCATCTTTAAACCTCAACATCCCTACAAACGGTGTGTAGCTGATACATTTAAGAGTCTTCCATCTTCAGCTTTGGCCTTAGTTGAGGTTCTTTTAGCTGTAGAACCAGATACCCGGGGAACAACGGCTTCTGCACTTCAAAGCGAGGTAAAAGCTATGAACTTTGTACGCATTCAACTTTTGGTTTTTTTATCAGCATCTGTAAACTCATAGATTCCAACTTCTAAATTTGTGTGTTTCTTGCATATACTTTGAAATGAAAATCATTGACGTTGTAGACAAGATATGTATATGCTTATTGTCCCACACTTCTGTTTTTTTCTTTCAGTTCTTTACGACAAAGCCTTTTGCAAGCGACCCATCAAGTTTACCGAAGTACCAACCGAGAAAGGAAATTGATGTGAAGCTTCGAGAGGAGGAAGCAAAGAGGTAAGATCCTGATTCTATTAGTATCATAGTGTTAACATAAAAAGGAGCTCTTCTAATGCCTTAATGAACTCTGACACATCCCAATTTCCTCTTATCCACCAGAAAGAAAGGCACGAGCAGTAAACAGAATGAGTCGAAACAAGTATCTAAAGCTGTGCCGGCTCCAGATGCCAATGCTGAATTACTGGCATCAGTACAAGTATGTCTGATTCTCGCATAATACTCATATATGTATATGGTTATATTCATGTGATCTTAACTTTTGGTCTGGTTTCTTGTTTTGAAAAGAAACGTCAAGGGCAGAATAACCAGATAAGCATGAGTGAAAATTTCAATCCTGGCGAAGATGCAGCTAGCGTCCGAGTCGAACCACTGAAGAGTGGAACAGCACAAAATGGTTACACTCGTTATGGCATGTCCTCGGTTAATAGAAATGGGGAGAGTGTTATGATTGGTTCGAGTCGGTCTCCTCCTAGAAGAGAACTGAGGACACAACGGTCCTTTGTCCAACGCGGATCAGCTCAATTGTCGAGATTCTCAAACTCAGTAGCTGCTAGAGATGGATCACATTTCGCCATAGCAAATCCACGGTGGCTTGAAGATAGTTATCACAATAACAACGGAAGGCATAATGATGGTGATTGGTCCCAACGTTTGATGGTTAGACCCAGAGAATCTACAAAAGCCAAAGAATCTACATCGGTAAACAGAACATCTGAATTTTAAGTTATGCTTCATTGCAGTGAAACTCTTTGTGGGCTAATCACATTTGTGTTGTGTTATCTTTAGAGTTACGGTGAAAAGACAGAGAGAGTGAACTACTCAGGGCCGTTGGTTTCAGCAGGAGGAAAATTAGATGAAATGTTGAAAGAACATGAAAGACAGATTCAGGTAGCTGTTCGCAAAGCTAAGAAGACGAATAGAGACGATAAAGGACAGACTCAAGCGTCTCTTGCTGCAAATGGCAGGTGAGATAGATACCAGAGAGTCCAAGAGAAGTAAACAAAGAAAGGAAGTAACTTTTGAGGTATCAGGAACAAAAGGAGAAAGAATGTTTGAGTTTTTGCTATGTAGAGTTAATTGTGATCTCTGGTGGGATCTTGTGTAAAGTCAAAATCTAAATTGTGTAATTTATTTATTATTCATTCTTTTTAATTATCACTCGAGAAGATTTAGAAATCCGAAGCGAGATTATAAATAAAATGTTAAGTGGTGACCAACCACCAACAAACTGAAGTAGAAGGCTTCTCTCTTGCTACTTGCATAACCTGAAATTAGTTGCTCTGTCTTCGTCAGGCACCCTTCCCTTCATGTCTAAGCATTACACAAAACTTTCTCTTATATCTCAAGCATATATCGTTCAGGAACAAGTACCTTCTGCAGAACCCTCAAGTTCTAACATTCGAAATCGGACAATGAGGCCTAGAACAAATCAAAGCCGGGAGCTCAAGCTTCTCCTTGTTTGTCTTCTTGCGGCCTTGGTTCTCATCTTCATCCTTAGATCAACTCTGACATCTTCAAAGGAACACCAGACTTCGGATGAGACAAGATCAGCACGCTGCTCTGGTGCCTGCAATAAGCTACCGCGTTCCCTTGCACAAGCCCTGATCCATTACTCGACTTCAGTTATCACACCGCAACAAACGTTAAGGGAAATAGCGGTTAGTAGTAGAGTACTCGACAGGAAGTCGCCCTGCAATTTCTTGGTGTTTGGTCTAGGCCATGACAGCCTCATGTGGAGCTCTCTCAACTATGGAGGCCATACGGTTTTTCTTGAAGAAGATGAAGCGTGGATAAAACAGATCAAGAGACGGTTTCCAATGCTGGAATCATACCATGTAACATACGACAGTAAAGTAAACCAAGCAGACAATCTCATTGAAGTTGGGAAAGGACCTGAATGCACAGCCATTGGAGATCCAAGGTACTCAGTGTGTCAATTAGCACTCAAGGGTTTGCCTGCAGAAATCTATGAGACTAGTTGGGATCTAATCATGGTCGATGCGCCCACTGGCTACTACGATGAGGCTCCTGGGAGGATGACAGCAATTTACACAGCGGGAATGATGGCGAGGAACCGGAAACAGGGAGGAGAGACTGATGTGTTTGTGCATGATGTGAACAGGGAAGTGGAAGACAAGTTCTCTAAGGCTTTCTTGTGTGAAGGGTACATGAAGAAACAAGAAGGGCGACTAAGGCATTTTGTTATCCCTAGCTATAGAGATGGATCAGGATCAGAATCAGAATCAAATAGATCCTTTTGTCCATAGTCGTCAACACATGTTACCTAGCTCTTTTAATTCCTTTATTGTTCTCCTACTTGTTCACAGCCAGTATTGAAGAGCCTAGACAGTAAAGCTATACCAAGAAACTAAACTTTCTTATCAAGTCAAACTAAGTGTTACTGACAATAAAGCTATACCAAGAACATCGACTGCAAATTATGAAACCTGATCAGGAAAAAACAGCAGTACAGATACACAAAATGAAACAAGCAAATGTTGTTATTGATAAGAACAAACACATGATCTTACTACACAGTAACAGGAAAAATATAAAAAAGCCAAAACTCAGCAACGAAGTCAAAACAGTTGTATCAAATCTGACTCGTATCAAATACCAAAAACCCTCTGCAAACTCCCAGTTCTTCGACCTCTGACTTGTAGTTGAATCATGTTCCACACTTTTCTTTCGAACTACCTGTGGTGCAAGAAGAAATTTAACAAACGGTAAGGAATTCAGTTTAGTTGACGAGAAGTAGAAAAAAGAATCCATGCTACTTCTAAAAATAGGAAACAACTGTAACGAAGAATTGTCTGTCATATTTAACTAGCTTTTACCTGTTAAGAAAGATGGCGGTTGGACTACCAGGAGATGGAGGATTCTGATTCAGGAGTGAAGCCTGTGGACCAGCTATAGCAACATCATCAGGGTTACTTGCAGAATATATTTCAACCACTTCAAGACCAAGTTGCCGCTTGATCAAGTCCACGTTACTTTGAAGGACTTCCAGCTCTCCAAAAGGCAACCTCAAATTTAAAGCCTGAGTGCCGATAGCTATTGCCTCGTCCTTCTTGAATTTAAGGAAAGGCATGCATTGCTTCTTAATCTGGTTGAAATTTTCTGCTTGTCCATCATTCTCCAATCTCTGCTGTAGTTCTGCAAGTATCTCTGCATCAGGGGCAAAACTTCGGGTTTCTTGGTCAAAATTGACTTGCAGAATCTCGAGGCAATGAGCTCTCCATCCAGCAAATTGTTCATTGACATATACAAGGCCTTCTAACTTCCCATGTGGAACTGCTGTTACTTGAGCACCTTTCTTAGCAGCCTTCTTGGAACCTAAGAGCTGTTTTTGTAGAAGCTTTCTCATTAAGATGATAGAATCTTGCAAATATTTGTTCGCACTCTTGAGAACCAAATCAGGCTCATTTGATGTTGGCCAGCCAGCTGATACCACACTACCTTCCTTCTTCAAAAGTTTCCTCCACACATATTCTGCAAACTGTGGACAGATTGGCTCAATGAGGCGTGTTTGCACATCCATAAAGTTCAGTACCAAGTCATGGTTCATGCCACCACTGCCGCATGAGAGTCTGTACTCATCTCGAGCAGCTTGCAAGTCGTAAAACCCATTCTTAAGCGCCTCCCTAAACAGACAATCTTTATAGGCTTTTTCAGTCAATCTGACAGCAATGTTCATGTCATTTTCAAAAACTTTATCAGCATATGTAGATGGAGGGCCAGTTCTCAAAGAAGATTCAGCAGCCAAAACTTCTTCCATCCATGTGAGCTCTTTTGTCAGCCGCAAAATTGCAGCATTTGCAGTTTCAAATACAAAATTTGCATCGTCAACGCCATCACCAGCATCAGCCAAAGAAAACCTTGTAGCAGTTGCAGAGAATTCTTCGATTGCCTGGCGCAGGGTTCTGAAATTCCCAGTTGACTTTGACATTTTTTCAGAGTTCATCATAATGTGACCATTACATCTGATGCCACGTGGCCAGTTATGTTTCGCCATTAGTGCACTGTGGTTGTATATGAAAAACGTCAAATGATTCTGAATAAGATCCTTTCCTGAAACTCGAAGATCTAGCGGGTACCAGTAGTCAAATTCCTGCTTCATCTTACTTAAAACAGCTGACGGAATATCAGATGATTCTGGGTACAGACCATCACAGAAGAGATACTCCCAAACTTCATCGTTCATCTGCTGAGGGCGAAGTACAGACTTGCTGCCTTTAAACATGTCTCCGTCGTGAAAGAGATGGGCAACTGTATAATAGGCCATATAAAGAGTAGAATCAGATAAGGATTCCACAAGGAACGTGTCATCCCAGGGAATACGAGTTCCAAGACCAAAAGACCGTGAGCAAGCCCACTGATTGAGCCAGCTCAAAGTATGCTCAAAGCCATGCCTTGTTTCTTCAGAGTAGAGATTCATGTTTGATAAACATTCATCAGCCATCTGCCGCCATTCTGATTCGCCGTACGTTATGTACCACTGATCTGTAAGAGCCACAACACATTCATCACCTGATCTTGACATCACCTTCTTCTCGGGTTCACTGTATGCAATTGCCTCGCCAGACTCTATGAGCTTTGCCTTGATAATCGGCTTGATTTCTTGAACTTTCCTACCAACAAACTCTCCAATAAGCATGGTTCCTTCGGTGAATCCTTTCAGATACGTCAACCTCTTCGCCTCGGCTAGCTTGTCTTTATCATTTTGACTTTTAATTTTCAGATCCAAGCAGACCTTTTCGGCAGCCTTATCCCCAAACTCTGGAATGTTGATAATCGGTACAATATCAGAGGGCACCCACTCATCTTTCACATTATACTTTGCTCGCAGAGCAGGCTTTGCTCTTAAATCATGTAGAGCCATGTAATCATCAGGGGCATCACTAGGCACGCTGGTGACAATGCCAGTACCTTTGTTGGTCAGAATGGTTAACATGGGCAGAGCATAGATAATCTCGTTCACTGACAGAGGAGACCTCAAAGGGAGTCCAATCAGATCAGACCCGGTCAACTTAACCAAACAGGAAGGCTTCTGAGGGATCTTTGAGTAGTCCTGGTAGGCAAGGTTTAGCGCAGCTCTCTCAGTAATGATGAAGACATCAGTTTCATTGATTTCATAAGCTCCATATTCCCCATCAGGAAGTACCCATGCGTTTGTTTGTCCATACATGGTCTCAGGCCTCAAAGTAGCTGCAGCCAAAAACACTCTCTTTCCTTCCAAAGGACCCATTTTCAGAGGAAATGGCTGCACTACTTCCATCTTAATGAGAGTATACTCCTGAGGCTGAACACCTTCTCCAGTAGCGCGGTCGTGATCAGCGCAAGGCTGTCCATCTAAAGGTGAGAATATCGTGAACCTACGATCTTTGACAATCTTTCCCATAGATTTCAACTTCCTCATCTGCCACCTCACAAAGGCATCGAAAAAAGGATTAACATCAGTGGTCACGAATGACCGCCTCCAATCACAACCCAACCCATATGCCCTGAGGTCTTCAACAGCCAAAGGAGGAAAGAAGTAGAGCCATTCATATGGATCAGTGAACTTTGCTATCTCACTGTCAGTGAGACCAAAACTACGCATAATCTCCCATTGATAAACCTCCCCACCAGATTTAGCAGCTACCTTCGACTTCTTTCCCTTGAACTGATCCGGTAAAGCAGGTGTATCACTACTCTCTTCCTCAACTTCTGGAGCTTGTTTGGTGGTGCCTTCAGCAGGAAACACAGGAGGGTTTCCAAACTGTTCGATCTCACGAACAAGCTTACCCGCAGAAGCCTTAATTGGCATACCAGTACAGTGGAAACCAAATGGTAGAAGCACATTAGCACCTCTTAGTCTATGATAAGCAGAAGCAAAATCAGCCTTGGAAAGTGAGAAAGCGTGGCCAATATGTAGATAACCATTCATATACGGGAAAGGGAAAGTCGAGTAGAACTTTTCTCCTGGC